AATAAGCCATATAGTATGATAGCGACGTGTCGCGTGAGGTAAACGAAAAAAATCGATGAACATTAATTGTCATGCATAGCGTATGGATGCGTTTCCGTTTCGATATGCAATACGCGCAAATATCATGATATATTGACAAGCGGAAATGTATTGCTAATATTTGCGCTTGCCGCGACGACGTTAACCAATCTGATACTTGTTATGCCAGATTCGAAGCCGTATTTAATATTGATGATTGAAAATTCCGGATTTTACAGTGATTATATGTTGTACCGGAAAACATGTATTTAATGGATATTAACAAACATTAAATCGTATTTGACAAGCATAAATAATATAGTCTATATTAAGTACGTCATGTCTTTTAGAATATCTCCCAATATAATTTTAATGGTGATTTTCTGTATCAATTTTTGTTTTACATATTATAAAAGTATATTTTAAACGAAACTTATAGATTAAGACTGAGACGTCCTCAGTTTTTGTTTTCACTCCTTTATATTACGGCGGAAATACAACATTGTCGATATGCATTCGCGATGCACTTGATGCAATTCGTCAGATCGATCGCTCGGTCCGTGAACTAGAAAATTATGCAGTTTCGATTTCGCGCGACGCCGTCCTGGCTGCAATCATTCTGCATGACTCACAGTGGAATCTGAAAAGAGGATTCAACTCTTTTTGAACGGGAATCCACGGGTAATTTTTCGTTACATTCCAGCATGCATCCCTTTCATAAAATAAATTATACATCCGCTTAATGTTTAAGGAAAGGAATAGCTAATGTATTTTCATGTAGAAAATATCTTTTCTTGAAAGAGCATTCTCTTCCTGTAACTTTCAAAATGCAAATTTAAGTTTATTTTCTGTTATTCTTACTTGCTGTATTCTGCCTTTTTCAAAGAAACGGATTTGCAAAATGAATAGTGACAAGATAAGCAAAAAAATTCTGGATTATGTTGTAATATCATAAGTAAATTTCTGTTATGCTCTTACATGTTTGCTCTGCCCCCAAGTAATTTCCGCGACGGCAATGACGCGCACGGAATCCTCGCATCCTAAGCCATGAGCATTATACCGGTTACTGTAACGAATACTCTCGAAGGATTCCGCAGGATAATTTCGTCGTGTTTACCGTCCGTGATGCTTGATTTCGCGAAAGATAGAACGCGAGCGTTCCCTGCGTCGCTACGCCACTGCGCGATGCCGCGAATTCCGATCCGGAATTTCAGGGACGCCGAAGTTCGCGGGAATGTTTCGCGACATAATCTCGTGCCGCACGAGACGTGTATAATGTAATCTTGTGTACGTGTACGATGGGAATTCGTGCGTAGGCGATCAGATTAACAGGCGAGATGTTTTCGTTGGGCGTACCACGTCTCTGATCCGCCACGCTCGACTCGGCGATGATCCGCGAGGAAAACGTGTATCTGTGTCCCAGGAATGTATCTCCGGTATATTATTGCCTCTCCTTCGACATCTAGGTCTTCTGTCATTCCAAGACATTATCTTATAAATAAAGCCTCGTATTTGATTGAAGTATTGATCATACATTTATTAATAAGAATTAAAGTCTTAACTGATAAAAATTTTTTGATTGAAAATGATAAACCAGAAAATTCTGGTCATATTAATTCTGATAATTTTAACTGAAATTAAATATAATATAATAGATTCAACCAGAAAAATCTGATTTTTGCTCGTTTTCAACTAGAATTAATGCAACTAGATTCTTTTTTTATTATATCAAAGTTTGATCAAAATAAGTGTTTTTATATATGATCGATCACTTTCAATACTTTAAGTTCTAAATTATATATTTTAAGAATGTTTTTTTCTTTTATAAAATAGACTAGATCTATTATTGCTCTAATTTTAAAGCAGCGTATTCAGTTTATATCAGTGCTATTCTCAAGATATTCTTGTATATCTTGACTTTTTAAAATTGTTTTCTCTCTAATCAATAAAAAATAAAAAATTTTATTTTACTTTTAGTAAATTATTTTTAATGCTGCTTTTATATAACGTACGTATGAAAGCAACATCAGATTTATTTGCGAAGTGATCTCCGGTCTCGTAAAACCCGTCAACTCTCGCCTATCATTTATCACTGGAATGTCGGGTGCATCAGGCGCTTATCACAGCCTTGTCGCCATGAGATCACTCGATGCATTCACACCCGCTCTAAACCTGACGTCATGCACCGCGCCGAGAGGTGGTCAGCTCCACAAGAATGCCTTTCCTCCCATTGGATCACTTCCGGTTTTCCGTCTGTCACGCTCCATTTGCGCTTGTTCAGTGCCGCATCGTCGGTGTCTGCGACCGAATGCGTCCGCGTATCCTCTCTAAAAATATTTGGAAATTCTGCGATCTGTGTTACGTTTTCTCTCGGAAAAAATCCGTATCGTTCATCACGAGTCCCTCGTCCAGTGTATGCGTGGGAAAATGGTGCGTGAATTTAACTATCTTGGAATATTGCACATGACAGTTAGAAGATACGAATATTGAATAATCTTAAGAATATTTTCCCTACCGAAATCGCTTTAAAAAATATCTTTCTAGATTTTACAAAAGATTTTTGGATATTTATTAGCAATAAAAATTTGAATTAGTCTTTATTCTGCAGTTTCAAAATATTTAAAAATATAATAAACTAAGAAATTTAAAAAAATTTTAATAAACAAAGAAAGAAGGTTAATAAGAGTATATCGCGATTGCAAATAAACACAAATTATGTCAAAAACTTTTATTATGAAAAGAGAATCATGCATGTCATTTTTATTTCCAATTAATTATTTTGCCTCACTTTGGAGTCTTTTTCAATCAATAAATTTGGAATAAAGATGGCATCATCTTTCTCATAAATGAAAGTTTTTGATATCACAATGCTCATCTAACCGCGCTGTGCATTCATTAACCTTAACTTTATTGTTGCGTTTTTAAAAATTGAAAATCTATGTAATTGTAAGACTTTTAATTTTAAATTATTTAAGTTTAATATACATTTAACATATGAATATTTAAAATACATAATTATATTGAATTTCTCAGATTACTTTCAAATAAAAGTTGCATAAAAAAGCTGAAGTTAATTACTTTAAATGAAAATCAATAAATGCAAAACAAATCTGCCATAATTGAACCATCAGTAGGCTTAGCTCATTTAACTCTATGAACCATCTCGATCAAATCGAATCACTCGTAGGAGCGATTCAAAACTTAATTGTTTGTATGCCTTCGCTTTCGAACACCCGTTATCTCCCATATCTCGTCGGCACCGCCTTCTCGTTACTCTATTCGGTTCGTGTTTCATCGGGACCTACCTCGCGTGGGTAGGATTAATTTGCGTATATATTTCACGATAATTGTGCGCATTTGCCCGTCTGCGAGAGATCGTATTGTTCCTCTGTTGTTTCGCGTTCGGTATATCCGACCCCGGCTCCTTTGTTACTGAACTCGAAATTTCGCGACTATTATTATATCCACGTCGTTTCTCTCGGTTTTCATGTTCGCCTATGGAATTATATATTCAATGTCGACGCCTTCGCGACGACTTCGGTATCGTCGAATCTTGTATCGAGATACGCGTATTGAAACAGTTATCCTATGACATTTGCAGTGCAGGATGATGAAAAGTATTTTTACAGAGTAGTATTTTTACAGAGTAGTTACAGAGTAGTATTTTTAATTTTATACGCTAAATGAATGATTTTGTTAAAGTATCTAACATACAGATTTGAAAATAATTATGTTAGACTATCAAAATAATTACGTACATACTAAATTATAATAAATATTAATTTGAACAGTTCTAAATAAATATAAACATATATTTATTTGATACGAAATCTATAATTTGGTTTAACTATCTTTTTTTTATTGAGTAAATATTTATTGTAAATAAATGTTTACTCTAGTACTATTTTTATTTACTTTAGAGAAATATGTACCCATTAAGATTTAATAATTTTTTTTCAATGTAGGAAACTCTATGACGAAAACAAAAGTTTTAACTTTTTAACAACCAATTTGAACGTCATACATAATTAAATAATTCTGATAATTTAACAAAATTATTTTCAAATCTGTATCTAGTTAAATTTTTATATACTTCAACAAAATCATTCTTTCCGTGTAAAATCCCTATTGTCAATGTGACTGTTTAAAATTTATATAATATTCTATACATTTTAAAATGTTATAGTGACATTTTCATGGGGATGTTATAAAATTAAACTTTGCTATGCAGAAATGTATCTTTTTATATATTCATATATGGATGTATCATATATGGATATTTATCTTACATATGCTATTTGCTTGGGAAAAAAACTGATTAATATGAGCAGTTAAGGATTCTTTTTCCCTTGATTGTGTTAAACGTGAAAGTTTGTATCAAAATAAATGGGAGTAAATAAAAGTCTTACACACGTCTGCAAAGTTTATTTGAATAGAAGGAAGGATGCATCCTGCATACAAAGTTATGTTTCATAATATACCAGTACTGTACTCACATTTTGCGAAATTTTATTTTCTAAAAAGAAAAACTAATCTCTATCTGTACGAGTGAATTTAACATGAAAATCGTAAGAAATTTCAAAATTATTTAATACCTGATATAATAATCAACATATTTCATTATCAACCTGCATAATACCAATTATAATTAATTATTTGCTGATTTTGAAACCTTTTTTAATCTACAGCTACATAATCATTTTTGCTGTTACAATCTTAACTCACTTCCGTTAGTTAAACGCAGCTGCAGGCTTTTTTTAATCTAAAAACTCTCGCTCAAGAGGAACTCGTAAAGCTCAATCTCTTGACTTTTTCACCGAGAAAAGTCGCGAAACACTCTCTACCTTCTCGCCTGCTCCTATTTCTTACTCCGTTAACCTTTGAAGAACTCATTGCAAGAGAGTTTCGCAATTAATTTCCCCCGTTCTCGCTAGGGCGTCCCGCTCCCGCTTAGACTAATCGAAGACGCTGTGTGCTTACAGATAGTCGACATCGAGGCGGTGCCAAGGTCACGAGGGAGGAGCTGAAGTCATCGCGGCATCTATGTTGTGCGGCGAACTCCTGAACGGTGGCTTCGTCAGTGCCGGAGCGGTACCGGTGGTTCCGTACAGCCTTCCAGGACTCTGGTTACCCGGTTGTCTGCGTGCTACCAGCCCGCGCCTATTGACCTCTCCTTACCTGACTCTGCTGGCCGAGCTTCTGGCCGCGGGCCGACTCGAGCTGCGAGACGATCTCCTGGAGCTGATGGACCTGGCAAAGAGGAGCCATCAGGCTCCTGGCAACAACGGAGCGTCCGAGCTCGATCTTGATCTCCATGCCGATGACATCGACGAGATTTTCTTAGGTAAATACTCTTATATTTATTACTCTTTCACATAAAAGTATCTGCTCATATACTTGGTTTGTGCTTATTTGAATGTAGACCATCAGTTATCAACAATCTAATATTGGAAATCTACCTACAATCTTATCTTAATTTAATAATGTTATAAGAATTGTAATTCTCACTGCTTCTCATCAGATATGTTCTTTTTTGATTGGTTTTATTATGTAACTAAGAATAGATACTTAATATACTATATCCAAATTAATTTTAGTATTGGAACTTAAACTACATAATAATTTTATTGACGAAACGTTATGAAATACTATATTATTCATACATGATGCGAGAAAGGATGAAAAGTGTAGTATAATCCGCGTATCGAAATCCCACAAGATTGGAATATTCTGGTAAAGTATGAAAATTTATTTTTATATCAAAGATCTTAACATAATCGATTGTGAGATCATACATATATATTAGATAATTTATACAATTTACTCAAGTTATTATTTAGTTTTAACATTGAGACATCTAGTCCGAGATCAAAATGTCAGCCTTTATTTAGTTGTAATAATTTAAATTTATAATAAACAGTTAGGATCATAGTTTTATAGTGAACTTTTTAATTTTTTTAAAAATTTATAGTAAACAGACTATTAGGCTCGTAGTCCTTTATTTATTTATTTAAAAAGTATTTGTTTTAATGAAATGACTGACAAAAATATAATAGCTAAGTGTCGTGATCATCAAATAGTTCTGTCGTAACAACTATATATTAAATCATTCGATATATTTCAACATCTTGGATGTCGAAATTGTAATACAATTGAGAGCAAGTGAACACACCCATTAAATTTTTCTCCGAGTCGAAGGCCTGTCCGACTAAAAATATTGGAGGCCGCGCATATAATACGCGATTTTACAACACGTGTCGTGGGTGTATGCGATCCGTTGTCTTTTATTTCGAAAGCGAGCATGCCGGCGTAATGGTTAGGCCGTAGTTCACATTAATGGGCAATACACGCGGTCGTGACGACATCGTGAAAGTAAAGCCATGCGTCGGCAGAAGTGAACGGCGCGGAGCCCGTGATTACGTCCGCTGGTAAATATGCTCCTCGGCTAAAACCCGGTAATATTCCCCGTTTTTCATGACGAGCGATTTGTCGCTCTATGTACCATCCGCTCTATTGAGATGACCTAGGAAGAAAAATGAATACTTCTCTACGAATGAAAATTTCTGGAGGAATTTTAAAAGATATCGCATCACAATACTATTTAATTAAATTAGTTTTTTATTTGCAATAAAGTCTCAAATTTTATATATTTGCGAATCATATTTTTTTTCGAGATGTTATATATAAAAATATCGCAATGAGAATTTCCAGCAAAAACTGTGACAATGAGCGACATAAATTGTGAAATTACATAATCAACTCCTGCTGAATCATACTAATCGGCGCATAAATTAGTGTTTGATAAACGATTCTCTTTAATACAAGCTTAAGTCGATGTGACCCCGCCTTCGAGTAAGTCATAAATTCATTTATTGCATCATTACAGAACGGCGAGAGTTAAATGTCGGAATAGGAAATAACAGTTATGAATAATTCGCAAACTACGAATAATTCGCAAACTGCGAATAATTTCTATATCACGAAAGGATTTAATGGTGTGGGAATGTAAAGATAGGAGGGTAAAAGGTAAATGAGAAATTATTATCATGGTTCTTTACATCTCAGAAATTCATCCGATTCATCCGATTCACATCAAAGTATCGCAATTTTTACGATTCTCTGTTCTTATTTTCGGTAAAATTTCTTTAGTAACAGTATATTTACAGGATATGACATTACGAGATTTATTTCTGTCGTTCTCAAAAGAGAGTCTACGCCTCATACTTTCGAGAAAGAGAGAAAAGAAGTCTTTGTCTTGCGGAGCGTTAAGATTTTTCAACACGATCCGCGCCTTACGATCATCCTTCTTGGCTACTCTCCTGGTCAGTTCTCCTAGATCTTCCATCTTCCAGCTTCGGTTTTACCTTCTGCCCGAGAGACCGTCGAGGATCTTAATAAATCGCTCTACAGCTCGATCCCGTTTCTTCGTAACGACCATCCGGAAAAATGGAGTATCGTCCTACATACTTAAGAGCTCCCTTAGAAATTGGTGATTCTCTTTTTCGCATGGACGACGCTCTTAATATGTAAATAATTTACTTAAAACATACACACCGTCGATAACGGTTTTTTTCATGCGAACACGGATGGAAAAGCTATGTTTTCGATTTCCAACTTAGTAATATCGATATCAGATGATAGCTTTCACAAAATACGTATTACTTATACCATACATATCAATGTACTACAGAAAATTAAGTATGTTAATTCGTAGACGTTATAGAAAATTTAGAAGATACATAATATGCAATTAATATATGTATATAAATTTGTAATAAATAATATATGCACTGAAAAAAAATTTACTAAATTTTAATAATTGTTTGAATAGTACTAAATAAATGTAAACATATATTTATTTAGTACAAAAATCATTTGTTTATTTTTTTCATTTGTGTATTATTTTTTTATTTAATAAATATTTATTGACTTATAAATTAATCGTGTAATTAGTACTATTCAAACAAATTTCTTAAAATTTAGTAAATTTTTCAACGTATAATATGTGTACATAGCTTATAATAAGCACGATATATGTACATCGAAACAGGTATTTTGGTTCAGTATTTTAGATAGATATTTTTAATCAAGATATTGTCTACACATAGTACATCAGGCGGCGACATCGACAATTCAAAAATCTATTTTAGCAGGTTAAAGTGTTGCAATCGCTTGTCATCTGACTGCAAAGTGGTTGAACTTTGTTGACAACGGTTTCAGAGAGCTGCCAGATCTGGCTGAGAGTTTTGGCGAAATTCTATTCAATGAATTCGCGAACCATCTATGTCGATCACTATTCTCTGTTACAGTTGTAAACTTTGTTGCATGCAATATCAAGATAACGAATCTTTTTCCTAAATTTGATGCAGGATTCGTGAACAGATATTCAAATTATTATATGTTGCAATAATAGTAAATATGTATGTCAGTTATTTCTTTATGCACTAAGTTTGCCTTTAAGTCGCTATTACCAAGTAATTTCATTTATTTCAGTTTATACTGCACGAGAAATACTATAAATAAAAAAAAATAGAAAAGGGAACAGATCGATAGAAATGGATATGCTCGAACTCGATCGGATTAGCTACGAGCAATGTGCGCTGCGTGCGAAAAGTTACATTCGTTGTTGATCATAAAAACGGGATATTCACGAGAGTCCGGGAAACACGTGGAAAATTGCGGAAACAATCCGCGGCTAGTGAAAATCTCATCGTGGAAAAACTACGCGCGTCGGATATTTCAATCAACTCGCCGGATTGCGCGCGATATCGTTGCTCGAAAGTCGGTATGATTGGATCGTATTGGCCTGCCTGACTCGATACTGTGCCGATCGATCGTTCGTCGATCACTGAACGGTTGCGACTACAAGCGAGAATGAAGGAGAAAAGCCGGGCGTTAAAAATAATACACGCGAGACGGAATAATCATATTTCACTATTACATCGGCGGCGACGACGATACGTGGAAAATTGAAAAACGAGGCCGAATAAGCGCACTAGAGGGCCATCGAAAATTAGTTTCGTATTCATTTGCTTGCCGAGAAAGTATATAGTATTTCATCGGCACGCGTGATGAATTGTAACTGGCACGCACTCATCATCCTTTCAAATAAACGTTTCTGTCGTGTATTGGCCCCTCATTTTTGTTCGAGGGATAATAAAATATAAACGATATGCTGGAAGGGAGGTATCTACGCACAATAAACGAGAGGGCACCTATTATGAAATTATTTAGATGGATTTATGATCGGAATTATTGTCTAGATTTCTATTGTGTTTTCTAGAGAAAAAATGGAATAATTCCGATTGGAATCCATTCTGAAGATTTCCGTAATACAATACATGCCCTAGTAAAATATGTTTTATTGAACTAAATAACGACATGGTATGGGTAAAGATTAATAGATACAAATTGAAAACAAAAATAAAATATTTTTACATTCCTGCAGGATGCAGTTTCTCTGGAATTAGAACAAAGAGCGCATCAAACTGTTTTTTTTTGTATTATCATCTCTAATTGAAGTTTTTATATGTATTCATTTTTGTTATATTTGTCGCATTTCCTTGTATTTAAGCACTTCCTTGTTTTAAATACTCAAGCTTCTACGTAAATTTCCCTCGTCATGTAATCAACCCGTGGCAGAATAACTTTAATATCATAACAAATGCGTTTAATAATATAGGCGACCGTTGCCTTTCCTTTTAGAATAAACGCTGCAATCTGTTTTTCTCTCTTTCTCTCTTTTTCTCTCCTTTTAAACTCCGGCTAAAAAATGGGAATACGTATGCCGTTCAAGGCAGAGCAATAAAAAAAACAGGTGGATCGGATGGAGTACGATAGAGAAAGGGCCGCGGGCGGAGGGAAATGAAGAGCGAAAGGTTTCCTGGCGAAACTCGACAATAGAACGGGATGATCCTATAGTGGCGGAACGCGAATGGCGAGTGAATGAAGCGGGACAGAAGGGGACAAAACGGGAACAATGCTGCCCGGTATTATTTTCTGTTTACTGCGTCAGACCAACCACCCACTCGGAACCACAGTGTTCATCCATCTCTGATTTATCCCGATATTTTGCAGTGGCATGACCGTAACTTCTGCGTCCTTATGCGAAGCTCACTGATGATGACAGCTCTCTACCTTTGTATTCCAATTCCCTTCCGCACGATCTACACCATTTATGGACATTTCACTGTTTTACGTGAGAGCCATTTTCTTTCTGTGACAAATAATTTATTTTCACGATCGTCTCTGAGATATTCCAAGCGCAACGGAAGATTACGCCGGCGCGGGCGATGCAGTCACGCGACATAACGGCAATGGGAGTATAATCGATTACATGAAGAA